GTAAATCGCAAATCGATTCCGGGAACAGATTACAATTCTTTCAAACACTGAATATACTATTACAAAATGAAAAATAGAAGAGAAGTTATGGTTTTCTGTAGTTCAACTTGTCGTTTAATTTGTATTAGTAAACGGGAAAACTCGCTGGAAGAAAATTGTTCAATTTATATTAGATATCAAGGAGCAATACAATTCATTTACACGAGAGAATATTGTCAATTTGTTTCTCGTCTCTTGACTGGTTCGCAATATCGTTATAAATTCAAAACAATTAGGTAAGACCGAAGGTGATTGAGACCGACTGAATTTAGTATTAAGGGCTGCGCTCTGAAGGCGTCAAGGTCAAAGGTAAGTTATACCCTTTAAAGTTGATAACAAAATTGCTGGTACATTTACACTTGGGTTTTCTCCCACCAGGCCAGGCAAAGACCGGCTTTCCCGTGTCGAGGTTTCCGAAGCCTTCAAGATTGATAAAAGGTCGTCATTGTCGAATCCAGTAAGTAGGATATTTTCATTGTTTATGATGAAGCCGCCTAGACATTAACCATTATGCAAATCTGTCAAACGTCTTACAGTTATGAATGGAAACGTGGACTCACCCCCCCCCCCCCACACGCAAACACATACCTAAATATATATAAGTACACACGCACATATACACTGACACGCACGTATATACTAACACACACCCGAATAAACGAATAAACGCACACGCACACACCCGAATAAACGCACACACACGCACACCCGAATAAACGCACACACCCGAGTAAACGCACACCCCGAGTAAACGAACGCATGCACGCCCACACGAACGCATGCACGCCCATGCACGAACGCATGCACGCCCACACGAACGCCACACACGAACGCATGCACGTGCATGCACGCCCACACGAACACACGCATGCACGCCCACATGCACGCCCATACGAACGCATGCACGCCCACACGAACGCATGCACGCCCACACGAACGCATGCACGCCCACACGAACGCATGCACGCCCACACGAACGCATGCACGCCCACACGAACGCATGCACGCGAACGCATGCACGCCCACACGAACGCATGCACGCCCACACGGACGCACGCACGCACATACGAACGCACGCACATACGAACGCACGCACACGAATGCACGCACGCACACACGAACATGCGCACGAACATGGCATGAACATGCACACGAACATACGCACGCACACACGAACATACATCCGCACGCACACACATACATCCGCACGCACACACGAACATACATCCGCACGCACACACGAACATACATCCGCACGCACACACGAACATACATCCGCACGCACACACGAACAAATACAGCACGAACATACATCCGCACGCACACACGAACATACATCGCACGCACACACGAACATACATCCGCATCACATACATCCGCACGCATACACCGGCATACACGAACATACATCCGCACGCACACACGAACATACATCCGCACGCACACACGAACATACATCCGCACGCACACACGAACATACATCCGCACGCACACACGAACATACATCCGCACGCACACACGAACATACATCCGCACGCACACACGAACATACATCCGCACGCACACACGAAATACATCCGCACGCACACACGAACATACATCCGCACGCACACACGAATACATCCGCACGCACACACGAACATACATCCGCACGCACACACGAACATACATCCGCACGCACACACGAACATACATCCGCACGCACACACGAACACACGCACGCACACACGAACACACGCACGCACACACGAACACACACGCACGCACACACGCACACGCCACGCACACGAACACACGCACGCCACACGAACACACGCACGCCCACACGACACACGCACGCCCACACGAACACACGCACGCCACACGAACACACGCACGCCCACACGAACACACGCACGCCCACACGAACACACGCACGCCCACACGAACACACGCACGCCACACGAACACACACGCCCACACGAACACACGCACGCCCACACGAACGCCCACACGGACACACGCACGCCCACACGGACACACGCACGCCCACGAACACACGCACGCCCACGGAACACACGCACGCCCACACGGCACACACGGACACACGCACCACACGGACTACACACGCACACGGACACACACCACACACGGACACACAACACACACGGACACACACACACGGACACACACACACCGACGGACACACACACACACGGACACACACACACGACACACACACACACGGACACACACACACACACACGGACACACAACACACACACACAACAACACACACACACACGGACACACACACACACACGGACACACACACACACGGACACACACACACACGGACACACACACACGGACACACACCACGGGACACACACAACACACGGACACACACACACGGACACGGACACATGCACACACGGACCACATACATACATACATACATGCACACATACATACATTGCACACATACATACACACACATAACATATCACACAAGACATACACACAGACACACACATACATATACACACATACATACACACATATACATACATATATACATATATACACACATACATACACACATGCACACACATACATACACACATGCACACACATGCACACACATGCACACATACATACACACATGCACACAAATGCACACAAATGCACACATACATACACACATACATACACATACATATACATCTCACACATCTCCCACACACTTACACACATCTCACACACATATGACCCATCCATACCATATATATATACGCATACATATACATTCAAATATGCATACATACACATTTACATACATACACATTTACATACATACACATTTACATACATACACATTTACATACACTTACATACATGAACACATTCATATACACATACACATAAACACATACACATAAACACACACATACATGTAGACATACATACATGCAGACATACATGCAAACATACATGCACATACATACATGCATGCACATACATAACACTGCTCATATACATGCGTCATATTACGTACATGCTCATATATACATACATGCTCATATACATACATGCACATAATACATACATCACACAGACATACACACATACACATACACATACATATACATACATACACATACATACACATACATATACATATACATACATACACATACATATACATACATATACATACACATACACACATACATACATATACATACATATACATACACATACATGCATACACATACATGCATACACATACATGCATACACATACATGCATACACATACATGCATACACATACATACACATACCTACAACATACATACATGCACATACATACATACATACTACACATACATACACATTACATACATACGACATACATACACATACATTACATACATACATAGACATACATACATACATACATACATTATACATACATAGACATACATGCATACATAGACATACCATTACATACACACATAGACATACATACAGGCATACACACATATACATACAGGCATACACATACACACACAGGCACAGACATACACATACACATACACACACAGACATACATACACCACGACACACACACATACAGACACACAGACATACATACACACATACACACAGACATACATACACACATACACACATACAACACATACACACAGGACACACACAACAGACATACAGACACACACAACACAGATACACAGACATACATACACATACCACACCACGACATTACACACACACATACATACACACATACAGACATACATACAGACATACACAGACATACATACGACATACAGACATACACACACATAACACATACACGTACACAGACACGTACACACATACAGGCGTACACACATACAGGCGCACACACACACATACAGGCGTACACACATACAGGGCGTACATTACCACAATACAGGCGTACATACACACAGACGTACACACAGAAGTACACCCATACAGGCGTACACACATACAGGCGTACACATACAAGCGTACACACATACAGGCGTACATACCCACATACATACATACACATAGATACACACATACATACCACACATACATACACATACATACCACACATACAGACAAACATACAGACATAACATACCACACATACATACACACGTACAACATATACATACATACATACTATATACAAACACACATACATATAGCATACACAAACCCGTACGTACACTCATATTACATCTGCATATCTACACCCATACATACACATGCACACTCATGCATACACATACACACACCCATCACACAACTCACCTCTCCCCTCCCTTACTCCTATCCTCTCCACCCACCCTTTTTGTCTCCGTCCCTGCCCCTCCCCCTCTCTCTCCCCTTAACCTCCCCTCTCCCCTCTCTCAGCCTTACCTCCCCCTTCCCCCTCCCCCTCCCCCTCTCCCCCTCTCCCCCCTTCTACTCCTCCCCTCTCCTCTCCTCCTCGACTCCACCCCTCTCGCCCCTACCCCCTCCTCTCTCTTCCCCTTACCGTCCTCCCCCTATCTCGCCCCTTCTCCCACTCCCCTATCCTCCCCCTCTTACCCCACCCCCCCTCTCCCCCCTCCCCTCGTCTACCGTCTCAGCTCCTCGTCTCCCCTCTTCGTCTCCCCCCTCTCTGCCTTCACTCCTCGCTGTCCCATGTCCTTTTACCTCCCCTCTCCCCCTCTCTCCCCTTACCTCCCCCTCTCCCCTCTCTCCCCTTTACCTCCCCCACTTCTCCCACTTACCTTCCCTCGCTCCCCTCGTCTCCCCCTCTCCCCCTCGCTCCCCCCTCGTCTCCCCCTCTCCCCCTCGTCCCCCCTCTCACCCTCGCTCCCCCCTCGTCTCCCCCTCTCACCCTCGCTCCCCTACCTCCCCCTTCTCCCCCTCTCTCCCTCGGCTCCCCCTCGTCTCCCCCTTCACCCTCGCTCCCCGTCTCCCCCTCGCTCCCTTACCTCCCCCTCTCTCCCCTTACCTCCCCCCTCTCTCCCCCTCTCTCCGCCCCCCCTCGTCCCCCCTGCTCCCCCTCGTCTCCCCCCTCGTCTCCCCTCTCCCCCCCGCTCCCCCTCTCCCCCTCTCTCCCCTTAACCTTCCCCCTCTCAACCCTCGCTCCCCCTCGTCTCCCCCTCTCACCCTCGCTCCCCCCCCCTCTCGTCTCCCTCGTTCTCCCCCTCTCCCCTCGTCCCCCTCTTCCCCCTCTATCTCCCCTTACCTCCCCCTCTCCCCCTCTTCTCCCCTTACCTACCCCCTCTCTCCCTCGCTCCCCCCTCGTCTCCCCCTCACCTCGCTCTCCCCCTCTCCCCTCGTTCTCCCCCCCTCTCCACCCTCGCTTCCCCCTCCTCTCCCCCTCTCTTCCTTCTCCTCTCCTCTCCTCTTCTCTCCTCCTCTTCTCCTTCTCCTCTCCGCCTCTCCTTCTCCTCTCGCCTCTCCGCCTTCCCCCTCTCACCTCTCTCTTCCCTTTCTCTCCTCTCTCTCCCTCCTCCCCTCCCCTCACCCTCCCCTCTCACGCTCCTCCTCTCTTTCTCCCCCTTCGCTCCCCTCCTCTTCCCTCACCTCTCCCCCTCGCTCCCCTCTCCTCTCCCCCTCTCACCTCTCTCCCCCGCTCACCACCGCTCCGCTCTACTCTCCTCTCCTCTCTCTGTCTCCTCTGTGTTCTCTTCTCTCCCTCTCCCTCTCTCCCTGTCACTCCCTCTGACTCCTCTCTCTCGCTCTGTGTCCTACTTCTCTCTCACTCTGTGTCCTCTTCTTCTCTCACTCTCTGTTCCTCTTCTCTATCTCTGACTCGTCTCTCTCTGTCCTCTTCCCTCTCGCTCTCTCTCACTCTGTGTCCTTTTCTCTCTATCTCTGACTCCTCTCTCCCTGTGTCCTCCTCCCCCCCTCTCTCTCTTTCTTTCTCTTTTCCCCCCCCTCTCTCTCTCTCTCTCTCTCTCTCTCTCTCTCTCTCTCTCTCTCTCTCTCTCTCTCTCTCTCTCTCTCTCTCTCTCTCCTCTCTCCTCTCTCCTCTCCCTCTCCCCCCCCCCCCCCCCCCCCACCCCGGCCGCCCCCCCCCCCCCCCGCCCCCCCCCCCTACATCTCTCTCTCTCTCTCTCCCCCCCCCCCCACCCCGCCCTCTCTCCCCTCTCTCTCTCTCTCTCTCTCTCTCTCTCTCTCTCTCTTCTTCTCTCTCTCTCTCTCTCTCTTTCTCTCTCTCTCTCTCTCTCTCTTCTCTCTCTCTCTCTCTCTTCTCTTCTCTCTCTCTCTCTCTCTCTCTCTATCTCTCTCTCTCATCTCTCTCTCTTCTCATCTTCTCTCTCTCTCTCTCTCTCTCTCTCTCTCTCTCTCTCTCTCTCTCTCTCTCTCTCTCTCTCTCCTCTCTCTCTCTCTCTCTCTCTTCTCTCTCCCTCCCCCCCTTTCTCTCTCTCTCTCTCTCTCTCCTCTCTCTCTCTCTCTCTCTCTCTCTCTCCTCTCTCTCTCTCTCTCTCTCTTAATATGTATGTATGTATATGTGTATGTGTACTCTCCTTTGAACTCCCTCGTTCCTTAATTCTTTAACTGAACAATTCCACAACACTGCAGCTGAAGTTAGTTTAATTGTTTGCAACCCAGGCATCCTTATCCTTGAATCGTACAGGAAATTGTGCGCACCAGAGAGGTGAGAGGGGAATTTCCTAATCCTTTCCCTCGACCTGCTAAAGAAACTCCACGCACCAGTCATCCCCTGATTTTAATCCTTTTCCAGGAAAAGCAAAAAATTCTTCGGGGAAAAGTAATGGCCAGAGTTTCTGATCAAATTGCTGGGAGATATCTAGAGGAGGCCACCAAAAATGTTCATCTCAGGTCATGAGGCCATTTAAGGCATTTAGTAGCCAGTACATACATGTTGTTAAGCCTATTTGTATCTCTTATTTATGACCAGTGTATGACTTCAGGTTGATGGTTACCTGAGGTGGTTGAGCTGCTCACCTCGACCACAGTAACCTGAGGTGGATGAGCTGCTCACCTCGCCCATAGTAATGAGACTGAGGAAACTCACCCAATCTTCCGTTGATGTGGAATGCTAGCATCGCTCATTACTTAATTGGAACTGGCAATATAAACCATCTGTCCCGTGAACAACAGAGTCTGGATATTCTTTACCATCAACTGCCACACTCATACTGCCCATGGTGATTTGTACTACAAGTTTGGAGATTCCGAAGACTTGCAAAGTTTTGAGCTGATACCAAGAACCGACACCTCTTCGGTGGAAAGCACGTTGACCAGAACTTACATAGAAAGTTAAAGCTTTGGAGCTACAAGGGGCCGGCCTAACAGCTTAAGCTACCCCGAGAAGGACCACCAGTGACGCCTTCCTTCGTCACGGTTGTTGATGTGGCAGTCAGCACAAGCACCCACTATGGCATCTGTGGTAAACATGTAAAACAGTACTCTACTGCGCAACACCGATCAATGAGAGAAATCCGTGCTCTGTGTTCCGCTGTTAAATATAAGGGCAGGTCAACAACTATAGATGTGCTCTTTGATGGTGAAGGTACCTTTCAGTCCAGAGTACAGTAGAGATGCTACTAATATTAACTCCAGACTTCAGTTAAGAGATACAGTTGTCTTTGAATCTAGGCTCATACATGCAACCATCTTTCAATCCAGACTTCAGGAAAGAGACGCAGCTACCTTTCAGTCTAGGCCAGTAAAGAGATTATAAAGGTAATCAATAATCGCTTAGTATAAAGCCAGGGTCTCGTATGAGATTAGAGTATTAAGTCGCTGCTACATCGAGCACGGGGATAAATGTTAAATGTACCTATTGTCGTTTGTGCAGGTTCCACAATGGTCCGTTTCGAAGACTCCTTCAGCAATGCAACCCTCGCACCTAGGAGAGGAGCTAGCAGCGACCCCGGTCCGAAACGGACCTGGGGTTGCTCTTGGCTCCAGGACTCATGCTGGAACTTGGATCGGCACCAAGAAGGTGAATTGGGATTCGCAGCATATGATATTGATTTGTTTGCAATATGATATATGATTAGCAAAGTACGATAACCTTTTATTTATTTCGTTTCTTCTTTCTCATTGCAGCCCAAACTCCAGAAACCACAAGCTCTGGTAGACACGGACGACAGCCACATTCATGCTCTAATGGACATGCACTTCAGCCACACTTCGGGTGACCTGAATACCCCAGACATCAGTAAGTACATCATATATATGTAAAAGCCCACATGTGCAGTTGCTGGGTAATCCCCCCATTACATCGAGGAGGCCAGTTCTCAGAAATTCCGTTTCCCGTTCCTCATATACAAGCGCCACCTCTTTCATCGGACGGCCATTTTGTGAAGCTCCTGCACGTTCATCTCATTACCTATGTCATTCCCGATCTCGTCTACCCTCATCATGCACAGTGAGAATCTCCGAATCCTCGTCAAAGGCAAATCCATCTGTCATTTTGTCAGTCCCACAGTCACCAGGCTATGAACAGTAGTCCCTGCCGTTCATCTTCACTGACACTTGTTTTATCACGTGCGATCCATGTTACTTTCTTCTATTAGTCCCGCCTCTACATAATTCCATCCTCCTGTGCCATTGTAAGAGTTAATAAGACCCAAATTATCCCGAAAAGACATACTTCACCAGTCAGTAATTCTCGAGAGTTCTTTCGATCAAACTCTGTCAGAATCCTTTCTACATGTCTGGACAAGCTTAGATTAGACAAAATGTCCCACTTTTCTGGTCTGTGAATTTCATTTACCGAGTAGGGATTAACAAGAACAAATTTTGCTAGTTACCAACATAAAATTCCTCGAATCCAAAATCCGAATTTAATCCACGGAAAATTGCGATTCTCCAAGACAAAAGTTACGCTTAAAATAAAAGAAATGAAAAATAAAAGTTCCCAAAGGTTTGTCCAAGCGGGGCCTGTAGGTTGACAAAACATGATGCAACAAGGTACTTCCCGTATTCTCTTTCTCTTACACACTCCCACGTATATTTTGTTCAGGCAATATTATTCCCTTCATTTGTAAGAATATTTTAAGTAATAGGTATGAAGGATTTATATTCGACCGTTAATTGCTTCAGAGCTATAGGGAACCTAGGTGTACTATCACCCCCCCCCAACACTATCCCGCCCTTTCATAAAGTGGTGCAATGTCTCGTTATCCGCCCGTTTTTTATCCTCGCCTTAGCTCTCGTCTACCCTTGTTCAAAACCTTGATTTTCTTTTTTCAATGCCCAAACATTATGAACTATATGGTGAGCTTAATAAACAGTAGTTGAAGGATTGCATTGCACAGAAAATGTGTATAAAGAATTTGGCAACCTTGCTTGGCCGGTGAGCCCTACTTATAAGGAGACCGAGCGGTGTTGCAGGCATTTTGCCGCAACGCTTCCCACAGAGCACACATCATGCAACTTCCTTCAGACAGAGGTAACGCAGGTGCATTCACGATACAAAGTATTATCCTGAAGTTTAGGATACAATTTCACAGAAGGAAGGGATTCAGGTAATACTGTACGTCCTTTATCACCTTCATTATGCTTCATCTGATTTTGCTGCTCTGCAGAAAAAAAACACTTTTCTACACAACACTACACTACACTTCTATACCACACTTCACTATACTTCTACACTATACTACACGGTACTACACTATCAAGGCATACACAGTAGTGCAGTGATTGTGCCTTTGGTTACTTCAGACATAGTTGTTTTGTTTTGTATTGTGATGTAACGAAGATGCTTCCTGTTTCCTGTGCTCGTAGTAACCTCTCTCTCCTTTTGCTTACAGAGTTAGAAGACTTTAAATTTGACGGGACTCACGAAGAGCCCAGCCACAATGATAGCATGGAAGTGAGCAGCACCTCTTGGGACCAAGATGCTGACTCTTTCATGGGCGAGCAGCACGGCCCTCCATCGGATGGGACTGTTTACTTCGACACCAGTCCAGGCGAGCTGCAGGGCGACCTCGAAAATCGCGTGTGTCTGACCAAATATACCATGAATAGCGACACAGATGGAGATGCCCTACAGCCCACCCCGGTCTCGACTTCCGGCCTCTTGGAAACTCTAGCTTCGACTACAATGTGCGTAGATCCATGTTCAGCCGCAAGCCTACCCACGCCGGCCACTTCTTACCAGAACAGCGGGACAGATTTCTTGCACAGTCCAAGCATCCATGGCCAGCAGCTTCACAACTCTTCTATGCCGGTTTCAAGCACGTCAGACACGGACTTCGAAATTCCAGCGGATATCTTGGACCAGATCAATAAGCTCCTGCCAGATTCCCTTATGGACGGCGACATTTGGGGGGACGATGACGCCGCCACGTCTACAGAGCTGGACTTAATGCTCGTCCAGCAACAACCGGACCTCCTGCTTGGAGCCATACAGAACAGTGGACTCAGTCATGAGGTGAGTATTGTTTTGTTGACCGTTTGCTTGTGTTTTTTTCTGTTGAGGATTTTGAAAACTCGTGAAAACCTACGAACTTCAGAGTGGAAAAATCAAAGAAAAGTACAAGTGAAATTTATGGGAAACAAATGAGAAGAAAATATATTAGTTAGAAAAGCTAATAGGCCACTATGTGATATGTCACTATTGATGCTACAAATGCTGTGAAAGAGGCTTAGACATAACAAAATAAAGAATGCAGTTGCAGTAAATTGGTCAAATAAAACACTTACACTAGTAAGAACAAGTATACCGGTAACTAGAACGATGTAAATTGAAGACATTACATTGTACTTTTTTTTTTTTTTACTATATCGTCCAGTTTTGCAGACGTGAATGCTGGAAGTTGTGAAGAAAATATGAAAAAGTAATAATAGGGAATAATTATAAGCATTATTAGAATTACTTTGGCTTCATGAAAGTTCCACATGATAGACATTACTGATGATACCATAAGATAAGTAACTTTAGACATTGTTGACTGACATAAATCTGATAATAGTTCACAATCTGCAACATGACATGTCGAGGCAATAAATCAACACTCCTAAAGCTTTCGCGTCATTGCAGTTTTAAACTAAATTATACATTTAAATTTATATTAGAGAAAGAAAAATAAAAACTGAAAATGTGGTGATTGGATTTTAAAGGTCAATGTTGCTGAAAGACTTTGCCAACTAGGAAAAATAGTATAACACAATCGATGACAGCTTTACGTTTAAAGTACTAGTCAGTGATTTTAGCTGCATACTTTTAGAGTTTCACTGAGTACTCTACTTTTTTTTTTTTTTTTTTTTTTTTTTTTTTGTATTGCTGAATTGTTCGTATTGCTGAATTGTTAAGCTTTTCATTGAAGAGATGAATTTCATACTACAACCTTAATAAAATTACTAAATGAGAAAAAGGTTTGCTGTATGTTACTTACGAATCAGATTGAGAGACAACCATGCAGATACTCAACATATCAATTTAGGACATGGACTGAGAGTCATTGAGTACAACAAATATTTTAAAAAGCCATTTTAAATCTGCTTGGAAACTAAATGCATTATTTTCTCTTATTTTCAGCTCGAGAATTTGGTCGAGACGTCATCCACAGCAAATGAAATAATTGACTTCGGAGATTCCATTTGCTTCCCCGCTGAGAGACCAGTTGTCAAAGAAGAGGCGTCTCTGGCAGAATGGTCCAGCCAGTTTATCAACGAAGGGCCAAATCCCCGGGACATCGCGCTGTTGTCTCCGTCCACCGCATCCCCGAGCAGAAGGGCCGTCGTGGCTCCCGGGGCGCCGTCCAAGCCAGAGCCCTCCCAGTCCTCATCAGCCATGCCATCACTGAGACCTGACCCCACACCCCTGTCGGGAAGCAGACCCCGACGGACCAGCAAGAAGCCCGTGCGGTTCGAGGACCACGACGACGACGATGAGGCGAGTGTGAACATGGATCTTGACTTCTCGGAGGAACCAACTGCCTCCACCTCCAGTTATACCGCCACCGGGAGGAGGTCCAGACAGTCCCTGCAGAACCTGTCAGAGAAAGAGAAATACCATAGGATAAGACATCTCAACAATGAAGCTTCAAAGCGATGCAGGCAGAAGAGAAAGCTGAAAATGAAAGACATAGAAGCAGAGGAAACAGAACTCCTTCAGAGAAACAGAGAGTTGAAAGAACAGTTAGCACATGTAGAGAAACAAAGAGATAGAATGAAGAAATTAATAAATTTGATGTTCATGGTGGCCAAGAAGTGAACGCAGTTTGTTTGGCCGCACCAGAAATCATGTACAAATTATTGGTTCTCAATTTATGTGTGCTATTTTTAAAGAGATTTTAGAGATTTTATCAACAACCCAGTAATAGCATTATTTTAAAAGACATTTAAACTGTTAATTTAAATCCATTATGTTTTTTTATACATTTTTATACATTTTAAAAGTTGGGATATTTATGGAAAACATTTACTGTAAGAATAATTTTAAGAAATAAAAAAGAAAAAAAGTGATTTTTTCTATTTCCACAATGAAAAAAAGAACTTAATAATACTCGTTACACCTTTCCTACACTGTACTTAATAAAGTAGTTTGTTAGTCAATAGTAGGACTTAAGCTCGCATAGTGTATATGGTCCACATAGTTTTAACTTTTGACGTTATTGCTTTCTAAGTAAAAAAATCAAAGAAAAAAGTGAAAATATTAATTCTCAAAGTAAAGAGGTGAAAATTATTCAAGTCTTCCCTTTCCTCTAAGTGCTGGAATAAATTTTCAAAAGCTCAACTCAATATGCTAAGAAATAAAAATTCCCCCACATGCTATGTGCAGATAAAAATCTACCCAACACAATACTCTGCTTAAAAAAAGAAACCTACCTAAACCCATTTCTTTTTCACCACACTGCTTGTACTGAAAAAAAAGAAGAAAAAAAAAGTCTTGTGGTTCCCAGCCTTTACTATTCTGTGGCCCTCGATCAATATATAATCGGTAAATTCACTGATTGTCAGATTTTCAGAATCCGTTATTACTAGTTATGAATGGTGTCAATACCTATATGACAAGAACACCCCATGGAAATATTCCAATTTATAGATAGATATATGATTATATATGCAGGTACTGAGAGAGAGAAAAAAAATCATTTAACTCGGTCATAAATTTCATATTGCTCCATGGCACCCGGGTTAGGAACCCCTTATAAAGTTTAGACTGTATGGTGCTGGTAAAACCTTTAAATCTGGCCTACACTGCATATGTATGTCAGAGATACGATTCTGATGTGTATACAGTTGCATGTGTTTACGTTTATGTTTTATCCCTTTTTGAAATTTCCAAGCTGATGCTTCCTGAATTAACATTTGATGAGTATTAATATTTTAAAAGGACATCATTCTCACAAGTCAAGCAACTAATTTTATGAATGATTCAGCAACTGCTAAGTGATCGTACTTCTGGATTCGACTAAAAAACATGGCGACACGAACACAAGCGCATACATAAACATACACAACCGGACCATGCAGGTCAGCTCTCAGTAACATTCAGACATTAGGGGGAAGACGCGCGCCAACATACACACGCACATAAACATTTACTCAGGCACACACTCACTCACACGCACACAAATGACCAAAAACTAATTCAAGAAACTTTAAAAGAGACTGGAGCAGGTTCTACAACTTTCGGAAACAAAGCAAATGAAATTCTTGTAACAGGGTATTTAAATAATAAATTTGTGTGAGAAAGTTTCGATCCCAGGGCGCAGCCACATTCGTGGAATGCTACACGACAAGAAGTCATAAATAAGTATTACCTTTTCTAAATGTAGCAGATCATACCAGGGTAAAAGAGCTCGATGTACCGTCAGTGGTTGACCTAATATTCCCAAAGCATAAAAATGGTATTAAGGATAATGAACACTGTCCTCCTCTAGGAAAACGCAACCATGTAGTAATTGAACCATGAAAACATGAAACGCGCAAACATGAACATGAAAAGCGCAAGTAAGGAAAGAAAATGGAAGTAGAATTACAAGAGAGGTGATTATAGAAGCCTTAAAGATTTCTTTGATGGTATAAACTGAGGAACACATGAACGACGAGAACCTTCATATACAATATTCATTTTTTTTCTCTATAAAAAGTAAAAACATTTATATCAAGTATCAGAACGAAAGAAAGAAATGGGCAAAAGTGGTTGACTGAACAGATGTAAAAATCAACCAAAGCTCTTCTTTAACTACATACATAGTAAGACCCCAAGGTAGAGACACCGGAGACAAAGGTATTGTATACTAAAGAAAAGGAAATGAATGAAAGCCTTATATCAATGAGAAATTGCAGTCAGTGGTTGATCCAGACCCATACTTTGAAATGCAAAGTAGCCATACAAACGCAAATGAGAATATATATAAAATGAAATAAAATACCTATTAAAAGGATGAGATAAGACCAAAGTACAGGAGCCAGATGAGATTTTTAACTGGATTCTTAGGGAATATACCAAAGAATGATGTACTTTATTGCTAATATTCCAAAATTTAGTTGAGGAAAACTACCAAAAAGTAGGAAACTCACCAACGTTATACCCTTATATAGGAACGGCGACTAACAAAACCCTCTAAATTATAGACCAGTTTCGTTAAACAGTGTAGTATGTAAATAATTAGAAAGGATAATTTGGAAACAGTGGGTTGAAATATTTGCAAGAAAGACGAAACAGAGTTTCGTTGTTTTAAAACAGTATGATATGTAGTATGATAAATAATTAGAAAGTGATTTAATTCAGAGGTGAAACCCCATGGAAATGGTGCTAACGGTTGAAAATATACATTGGCTTATAAGAAATGAGACCGAGAAATGAATATTAATCCGAAAAAATAATACTAACGGCTCTCGCTAATTTAAGAGAATATAATTCTAAGTAGAAAGTGTTCCTACTTCTCTTGTTGACAGTCATAATAAAATATTAAATATTTAACTCAAGAAATAACTTAGCTTCCGTTGGGTGGTATAAAATAAATAAATATGAAATTTGTACTCCTGTTGTATTCATCAAATTATAATAGAAAAGTCAAACATAAAGCCCATATGAAATCGTACTACGTTTGTTATTTAACTGGATAAAATAATGTTAATTATCTGCCATAGGTATAATAACGAGTAACTGCTCAAAGTCTAAATTCAGCCAATATGCAAAACAAATAAAAGATGAGCTTGATAAATGAATAGTGAGAAGAAAGTGACGAGACGTTCGATAATAAGCGAGAGAAGAGGGTATAAAATGAGTAGAGAATTAAGAGTTATGTGTGAGATAGAGTGCGGTCTACGTGCTCGAGAGATTAAGAGAGGATAACGGAACATTGATTTTGGATAAGAAGAGTGCATGAAAAGTTCGTAAGAGGTGAGAAGACTGCGGAGAGAGGTGAAGAAGAGAGGGAGGAGGTGAGAAGAGAGGGAGTGTGAGGAAGGTGAGTAAGAAAGAGGAGATGAGAGAATTTAGTGAAAGAATGAGCGATTATCGTGAGAATAGAGAGAGAGGTTGAGAAGAGAGGGTGAGAGCTTGTGTGTAGATAAGAAGAGGGAGGAAGAGAGGAGAAGAAGTAGTGGGAAGGAGAGGAAGAGAGAGAGAGGTTAGAGAGAGAGTGAAGATTGAAATCTACTCTGTTTAAATAAAAATAATGAAGGGATGAGAGAGTGACGAGAATAAGACGAGGAGAGTAGCATGAGAGAGGGAGAGTATGAAGAGTGAGAGAGAATAGAATACTGAAGATGAGAGCATACGGAATTGTTGAGAGAATGAAATATAAATTTACGAAGAGGATCTGAGAACTGTTAATTAAAGAGATAAATCAGTGAGGGGAGAGGAGAGAACGTTATGAGGAGGTAACTGAGACTGTCATGAGTTGAAATAGGAGGAGAGAGAGAGAGATAAATAATAGCCGCTATTTGAATTATACGAGCATACAACGATATCCTATAAATGTTGCCCCTACCCACAGCGCCCGTGCGTTGATTGAAATGTAGGGACAGTTTCAACAGTTACCTGTTTAGCGCTGAGCGACGGCACAATACCGCTGACTAATAATCTAGCATCTGTGGACTACAATTTTCCACTGTGTTCATGAACGTACCCGAGTTATTGATGGATTAAAAGTGATTAAACTAACGTTTTATCATGTACATACTAGAAAGTATATGCATTGATTATGATATATTCAACTGATATATGTTATGGAGTAAATGGATGAGTAAATAGCTCTTAACATATATCAAAAACTGATGTTGCATGGGGAACTATGTTATATAGATAAGATACAATGACATTGTATAACCTCCCAGAAATAAGGGAGCTCCAAATTTGACGAAATACTGCTGTAGCTAATAGAAATAGAATTACTTAAAGATTGCATTATCGGTATAATCCATATTATCTGTGGTATTTAATAGTTAATGCAATATATACGATAAAGATGAAGTCATTGCATTGATTAATTATAGCATAACAAATAGTTAGATGGAAATAAAAATTCCACTAAAAACAATATACGAGATAATGTGGCTATGCAAGTTTGACTACGTAGCCAACACATCAGAAAGAGTACATAAAAGAGTGAGACAAATCAAGAAAAACAGAGAAGAGAGAGAGAGACGAGAGAGAGAGAAAAAAAAAAGAGGAATGAGAAGAGAAACGAGTGCATAGGAGATTGCTCGTGAGAAGAAGAGATGAAAGATAGAAATATTGAGATGAAGCAAGAGGAGAAAGATATCGAGTACTGAGACATAGGTAAAGAGAGAATAATGAGAGGAATGATGGAAATAATGGAAGAAGAAGATAAGAACAAGAGCTTGCGGGTTACTTCCTTTCAGCAACACATCGCGATTGCCAATGCAGTAACCGCCAGCCAGTACCCATATACGAGAGTAATATGAAATTGTAGACGCCTCTGCAAAGCCTGTTCTGGAGACCTCGAATTCAAGAAGGAATTAATCGATAGAAACATTTCTGAAGTAGTCGTGAACCATACCGTCATAAAATACTTTTATGATTACAATTAACGGAGAATTAATAAATAAAAGTATGAAATCTTACTCTGTTAATTAAATAATATGAAATCTACTCTGTTAATAAATAATATGAAATCTACTCTGTTAATAAATATAGTATTAGTCGTAATATGCGTGAGTGATAATAATAATCACAGGCTTTGATATTGAATTTATCCAGTAGATTCCATATGTTAATATATCATGATAAAATGAGATTAAGTAGCAATATAAACTACAAGATTATGCGTGAGCTATCTCATAAACTACATGTATGGTATGATAGAACAACATAACCATATATAAAAGTAAGGAATCAAGAATAAATCTGTATACACCAAATAATTGGAGACACAGCCCAGGTCATTGATCTTGCCTAAATTATAGCATTGAGAATCTAATCACCGTATGCAGGTAATGGTATTATTAGATTCTATAAGAGTATAAATATTATATATTACCT